CAGGAGGTAGTGTCTGAATGAGAGTGGGCCGCATCAAGTAATCCACAAAAAAGCGATTACAACTGTTACAATCTGGTCAACCTTTATAAATAACAAAAAAATCATTAAGGGTTCTCAAGAACTAGGATTCACTTTCATCCACCTACTCACTGTTGCCAGAGAGCTGGCATACAAAAATAAATATAGAGACATTTTTTAAAAAAATCAGAATTAGACTAGTCGGTGAGATTCGACTGAAACCGTCGCGGAGAGTCACGTTATAGATAATATGAGAATGGGGGAAACGGGCCGGCGCATTTACACTAAACTTTTCTGTCATGTAGCGGGCCACAAAATATCGTCTTGCGGGTCACAAATGGCTCGCTGGCCGCGACTTTGAGAACCCTAAATTAGATTTTTATTTATTAATATTGACGATTATCTCATTTTTATAAAAAAATAATGTAAATATTTATATTTTCCCACATCATTTTCGATGTAAGCAGAATGTATGCGGGAACGAATTTCAAAATATCTTAATATTTCATTTTCGGCTTCGGTTTCGGCCGAAATTCATTTTTAACTTTCGGTCTTTTTTCGGTTTCGGCCGAAAGTCATTTTAAAACTTTCGGCCTTTTTTCGGTTTCGGCCAAAAGTCATTTTAAACTTTCGGCCTATTTTCGGCTTCGGCCGAAATCAGAAAATCACTTTCGGTCGGTCTCTAGCGGTCTGTCCATGGAGGTTTTGCTATAGTCATGTGAAGCCACTACCAGTTGGGGCTTGTCCATGGAGGATTTGCTATAGTCATGTGAAGCCACTACCAGTCGGGGCTTGCCCATGGAGGTTTTGCTATAGTCATGTGAAGCCACTACCAGTTGGGGCTTGCCCTTGGAAGTTTTATATAGTCAGGTGAAGCCACTTCCAGGGGCGGTCTGTCCATGGAGGTTTTGCTATAGTCATGTGAAGCCACTACCAGTTGGGGCTTGTCCGTGGAAGTTTTCTATACTCAGTTGAAGCCACTTCCAAGTGCGGTCTGTCCATGGAGGGTTTGCTATAGTCAAGTGAAGCCACTTCCAGGAAAGTTAAGGATTAACAGCTTTATTCTGTTAAGTATTGACGTCATCGCTGGACAAAAGAAGCAGTGGAGTAGGTAGAGTTTGTGACACCCTTGGGGGGGGGGGGTCCTTGACATTGCCGCCGGTGATTAACGACGACGTTAATGGACAGGGAGCTATAGAAAAATGATCAATAAAAATCTATGGAGTGAAACGAAAATGTCGCCCCAAAATGAGTGCCACCCGAGATGAAACCACACCTTCACACCCCCACCCCCCCCTTTTTTTTTTTCTTCTTCTTCGACGAGTTCCGAAATTCCTTCTAATTAACTTGTGTTTTGTTTTCTTCTTGCTGGTTTTTAATCTGTTATTTCGAAAGTAGACTGAAGAAAAGTAGTGGGATTTTATTCTTTTGATAAAATAACCTCCTCCCAACTTTTATTTATCATTTTTAAGACTCCCCTCCCCAGGATTCTTATAATATTTGTAGGCGTCTGCTAGCATCGGGAGGCCAAGTGGTTTTTGTGAACCGGGGGTGGGTGGGAGCAGACCAGACTGGAATTTTATTTTATGACAAATGTTCCCGTGAACCACCGTAGACGCGAACAGCCAGCAGAGCCACTAGCGTGGAGACCTATTTTAGCGGTTTTTTTTTTTTTAATAGAGGCNGGCTTGAACGTTGAAACCAGTGTCGGAGATTAAGGGGGGTGTGAGAAGGTGATTGGGGTGTGAGAGGGTTATGGGGCAGTGAGAGGGTGATGGGGGTGTGAGAGGGTGATGGGGGGTGGGGGGGTGGTGGGGGGGGGGGGGGCTGTCACATAGTTGTGCTGCGTATGTGACTATCGCTACACACGGCAGTCAGGTCCGGGGCCACATCAACTCATGGTTGTGATTCTAAACCACCCCCCCACACAAACACACAAAAAAAGGAAAGAACTGGTTTTCCACCTTATGCGTTGTACCGGGAGGATTGTTTCACGCTTGGGGACGCTCTGAGACGTTCAGTGTGTTGTACGAAACCCGTTTGATGACGTGTGGATACATTACGCAACTCCAGGACTGACTTTGTAGGTATGTGCTTTGTGAGCTGACCTCAAGTGGGTCGCGTGTGTAACTTAGTGGGAATAATTTGGCAATATTTATTTATTTTATTCTTTTTAAACCATTCATGCTAATTTAAATAAGCGTATGGTTTTGGGCGGCCCCTAGATTCATATTTTGTGATGTTTTCAAGTTTTGAAAACATTAATTAAAACAGTGAATTTTATAAATCAATGGTGGTAAGTTGATAATAATTTTAATATTTTATTGTTAATCCTTTATTATGGTTCAATCTAAGTTATAGCGCCACTTTTGTGACTTTTTTTGTCCTTCCATGACATATCACAAGGGGCCCTTCCATGGCATATCACAAGGGGCCCTTCCATGGCTTATCACAAGGGGCCCATCCATGGCATATCACAAGGAACATTCCATAGCATATGACAAGGGTCCCTTCCATAGCATATAACAAGGGGCCTATCCAGTGCATATCTTAAGGGGCCCTTCCAGGGCATATCTCAAGGGATCCTTCCATAGCACATCTTAAGGGGCTCTTCCATGACATATCTGACATATTATTTCCTGTGGTGTCCTCACATACCATATATAATGGTGCCCTACCATATCTCCAGTGGTGCACTACCATATCGCCAGTGGTGACCTACCATATCTCCTGTGATACCCCACCATATCTTCAGTGGTGCCCTACCGTATCTCCAGTGGTGCCTTACCATATCTCCAGTTATGCCCTACCATATCTCTAGTGTCGCCCTACCTTACCATCCGCAGTGGTGCCCTATCTTTGAATCTCCAGTGGTGTCCTCCCATGCCCTCCTTATGAAGTTGCATCCCCCCCCCTCCCTTTTTTCACGTTCTCTGTCAAAGTCCCCGTCATTTCTGCCAGTAACGTTACATTTGTGTTCCATCTCTCTGCACCCCATTGATCATTATTGATTCTATTGACTATTGCCACACGAGAAACCAACACACAAATCGCTAATGTGTCCAGAACTGGTTCTGGGAAAAATGACGGAGTCAACGTCATCACCAAGTCAAAGCAATGGGGGAAAACACACACACCAAGATATGATTTTACAAACAACCATTCGGGGCCAACAGACCAGACTAAGGCATTACCTTGATAAATACATAGGGCTCTCTCTCTCTCTCTCTACCCCTCTCTCTCTATTCACTCTCTCTCCCTCTATCTTTCTTATTCCCCCCTCTTCTTTCTTTCTCTATACTCACTCTCCCTCTCGTTCTTTCTCACCCTCTCTCTCTCTCTCCCCCTCTCTCTCTCTCTTTCCCCTATATCCATCTTTATCCCCCTTCCTTTCTCTCCCTCCCTCATTTCCCCCTCACTCCTTCACTCCCTCTCTCTCTCACTCTCCCCCCCTCTCTCTCTTTACCCACAAACACTCTTCTCATATCTCTCCCGTATCTCAATTTGCTCTAAAGACCATATTATTATACATGTTACGTACATATCGTATATGTGTACACATCCCATACATGGTATATACCTATCGTACAGGTGCGCTCATCAAATACAGGTTATATACATATCGTACACGTGTACACATCACACACATGGTATATGCCTACTGTACATTCACACATCACATACACATTATAGGCCCACTGTACATGTACCCATCGCATAGTTCTAGACCTGTGCCAGCAATGAACGTTAGTTTAACAGTTCATTCCAAGCAAAGATCTCAAAGTTCAATCGCTACGTACGGGCCTCTAATATGTATTATTATTATTATTATTATTATTATTATTTGGGGATTTCATATGGGGTGGGCTGGGGTGTGGTGGGTCACCAAGAAAAACCTACAAGAAAAAAACAAAACTATGGGTTTGATATTGTCAACGTTGGGTATGGATGAGAGAAGAAAATCTATTTTCAGCTCCCGGTGGGAACAAGATGTAATGGGGAAAAAAAAAAGAGTATTTGTTCAGTGGTTGAAGTACAAAGCAAACAGAACGCGTCTTAGCCTTAGAAGTCATAAAATTCACTGGATAGTTTCCTTGAGATAAGATGGCCGTAGATTCAGTCGAAACCCACCAGCATTTTTACGTGATGCTTGGATTTATTTTATAGGGTGTGTCATCCTTTGGCTAAAGCTACTCAATCCATCCATTCATCCAATTATTCCAACATTACCACCTTCACACTGACGATCCCACCTTCACACTGATAATCCCACCTTCACACTGACATTCTCAACTTCTCTCTGGCATTCCCACTATCACACTGACATTCTTAACTTCACACTGGCATCCCACTATCACACTGATATTACCACCTTCACACTCATATTACCACCTTCACGCTCATATTACCACCTTCACACTGAATATTACCACCTCCACAAAAACTATTTTTATGTCTCCCCCATGACGTATTACCCACCCCTCAAACACAAACACATTCATCCAATTACCATGATTACCTATCATCCATAAATGTCCATATTTATTCATCCACATGGATCTCTTTACCACGCATTCATCAACCTACCTCAGAGACTACTCATGCACATCACTCTATCTCTCTCTCTCTCTTTCTTTCGCTTTATCTCTCTATCGATCTATTTCTTTCTCTCTTTCTCTCTGTCCCTCTCCTCTTATTCACACTTTGATTGTTGACATTGATTCTCTGTAAGGTAGGAACTGCAGACACATCCACCACTCTGAGCTGTGTCTCACACGTATCTCTTCTTTTGTGGTCTCCTTTGACTCTCCCTTGTTTTTCTAGCGGTGTGTCTCACATATTGTGTCTATCTATTCTCCTTTAGAGCCGTGTGTCTGATACAATGTGTCCATTCTCCATAAGAGCCATGTATCTGACACAATGTGTCTATTCTCCATGAGAGCGATGTGTCTGACACAATGTGTCTATTCTCCATGAGAGCGGTGTGTCTGACATAATGTGTCTGTTCTCCAGTAGAGCGGTGTGTCTGACATAATGTGTCTATTCTCCATGAGAGCGGTGTGTCTGACATAATGTGTCTGTTCTCCAGTAGAGTTGTGTGCCTGACATAATGTGTCCATTCTCAATGAGAGCGGTGTGTCTGACTCAATATGTCTATTCTCCATGAGAGCCGTGTGTCTGACACAGTGTGTCCATTCTCCATGAGAGCGGTGTGTCTGACACAATGTGTCTATTCTCCATTCTAAATTCATACACGTATTGTTTACTAAGAACTATTTATGATGTCGCTACACATTTAAAAAATTTTTTTTTTTTTTTTATAAAATGAAAAGTACCTCTCACCTGCATACATACGCCCCACCTGTAACCTAATATAGCAAAGTCTACCTGGATGAAACCAAAATAAAAATCCAGGGATTCTCGCATTATTTTAGCCAAAACGAATTATCTTGAATAAATTGTCATATTTATTCAATATCCACATGGATAACATTGCGGATATTTGTATTGATGAGTGAAGGGCCTTGGGGTACAACCTCTGCACGCCTACTAAAAATCGCCGCTCTGCTCGTGTGTCCCATGTTACACATGCCGAGATCCACTGTAGGAAAGAATGTGTCCCCGCCCTATGTCCTACAACAATGTAAGCAGCCTCAGGCCGACCAAAGCGTCGGTGTGTGTGTGTTTGTCCGTCGGGTGCTTGAAGTGAAGCCATTGACGTGAAATAACGCACAGACCTATAGAGAGGGAACGTCGGGTCTTCAAGGATAGACATGAAACGGCTTTTGTTCTAACAAAATTGTTGTCTCGTTGATCAACGAATTCTTATGACATCTCTATCAACGGAACACAAAAATTGCAGATTCATATAGACCATGTCGTCTCCTCGTATCTTTGTCAATCCAACACTATTGCAGTCTCACAGATGGTGTCTTCTTCTGGTATCTTTGTCGTTCTGACGCACATGCGGTCTCATAAACAATGTCTTCTCCTGGCATCTCTGTCAATCTAACACAATTTCAGTCTCACGGATGTCTTCTTCTGGTATCTCTGTCTTTTCTAACGCACATGCAGTCTCCTAAACAATGTCTTCTCCTGGCATCTCTGTCATTCTAACACAATTTCGGTCTCACGGATTTCTTCTTCTAGTATCTCTGTCAATCTAGGAGGCATCTCTGTCAATGTAACAAGCAGTCTCAATCATAGAGAAAGTCTTATTTCTCGTATCTTAATTAAAGTCACATGTAGCATCTCATATTTCTATCAGTAATAATCGAATAAAGAATAATTTAATTTTAATAAAACTAATTTTAATGAGATCAGAAAGGGATGTAAGTTGGTCATATAATAAATATTAACAGAAATAATGGATTACCAGGGCTGAACCGGTTTCAGTTCTTGTTGTTTTTACACCGGGTCCGGTTGTTTTGAGTAAATACCTGGTGGGTCCAAGAGTTCTAAGCAAAACAAAAAAAGCATACTTCTCATTTTCTATAATACATGCCAGCATTTAAAGCAGATAAAACAGTGGTAAGCAGATAACACAGTGGCCAGCAGATAATGCAGTGGCCAGCAGATAACACCATGGCCAGCAGATAACAACATGGTCAGCAGATAACAACATGGTCAGCAGATAACACCGTGGCCAGCAGATAAAACAGTGGCCAGCAGATAAAGCAGTGGCCAGCAGATAACAACATGGTCAGCAGATAACAACATGGTCAGCAGATAACACCGTGGCCAGCAGATAAAACAGTGGCCAGCAGATAAAGCAGTGGCCAGCAGATAACGCAGTGGCCAGCAGATAAAACAGTGGCCAGGAGATAATACAATGGCCAGCAGATAACACCATGGCCAGGTGATAACACCATGGCCAGGTGATAACACCATGGCCAGGTGATAACACAGTGGCCAGCAGATAACACAGTGGCCAACAGATAAAACAATGGCCAGCAGATAACACCATGGCCAGCAGATATTGAAAAGCAGTAAACACGTTTTCCCGATGGCGTGCATCTAGAGAACACACGCACGCATCTATTGAACACACGCACACATGTTTATCTGCGGTATGTGTTTGCGGTGTTCAGTTCAAGCCAAGCGTTCAAGTCAAGACAAACCAACTTAAGCTTACACATTCCCATCTACTCACCTTCAGCAGCAGTAAGTTTACCTACAAGAGAGCACTCACTAGTGCACGACTCGATGTGCTCAATGAGAAATACCGTTTCTTCAAAACAAAATCTGCCCACAGACAGTCCTACATCACGCCCTTGTCTCTTCAATGACTAATATAATAGTCGCCCCCCACCACTCTAAAGAAAAAAAAAATACTTACCGAGTTCAACAGTCACGCATGACGCTCACTGCGTGACAGCTTTTTATCCACTCAGTATTATTGATATAAAACATGTGGAGTTGGGGGAAGAGGAAGCAGGACAAAAAAAAAAATATATATATATGAGATTGCGATAATGGTTTGAATGGGAGAGAATTCGGGAGAGTTAACACCCTTCGTGGTTTTGTTTACCGGTATTTATATGTGGACCCTTGAAGCTAAATTGGGTTCTAAAACTAAAGACGGTACAGCAGATGTGTTGTAATATTGATGGCTTATGGATGTTGTTGATGTTTGTCAGTCGGTCATGACCACTTTAATCAGCGGATGTGTGCTAGTTCTGATCGTGACTGTGGGTGCTCAGGTGGCTGATGAGGCCGAGTCTGGCACGAAATTTTCTTGTGCAGTAGGTGCAGGAGACTGATGGGGGCATCTCTGGGAGCAGAGTGAGGCCTCGCATGTCTTTTGCGCTCTGCAGCCACTGTTCTGTTAACATTATGTTGCATGGAGCCCCTGTGTAAGGTGGAACGCCACGACGTTCGATCCTTTGCTTTTCTCCCACGTGTCTGGGTTTACATCGAACGCTTTCAGTAAGGCTTTCAGGTTGTCTTTAAAACGTTTCAAATGCCCGCCAGCAGCTCGAGCTCACCATAGAATATTCTTTTGGGCAGACGGTCGTCTGACATTCTTACAACATGTCCCGCCCAGCGAAGCTCGGACTGCATTAAGATGGTAAAGATGCCGGGGAGACTTGCGTGTGTGAGCACCTCAGTGTCTGGGACCCTGTCGTGCCATTTGATGTTGAGTCTTGTTGCATGAAAGTGGTTCAGCATTCTTGCATGGCGTTAGTATACCGTCCACGTGTCACAAGCACAGAGAAGCTTAGGGTGAACAGCCGTCTTATATACGTTCAACTTAGTTTGAGTGCTGATACCTCTCCTGGTCCATACGTTCTTATAAAATGTGTGCCATAGGTTGCACTGGCTCTTGCAATGCGGAGGTCAACCTCGTCATCGATGGTTGCGCTTTGGTACAGTGTGTTGACAAAGTAAGAAAGCTATTCTCTACCTTAAGTTTTTCGCCTTATTCTTGGATTGATGGGATCAACATACGGTCTTCGAGGAGCTGGCTGTAATTTTGTGTGTGTGTGTTAATCGTGTGCCGGAAGTTTGTGCAGGCATTGGAAAAGTTTGTGACGCTGCGTGTTCACTTCTGATACGTTATTTAAGGCACATTCGTCTGCATACAAGGAGGTTACTGATAGTGTATGTCAGGACTTTCGTTTTAGCATGTAGTCTCTTGAGGTTGAATAGATTACCGTCAGTTCGGTATCTGAGGCCAATTACAGCGTCTCCCTCTCTGAAGGCATTGGTCAGCATTGCGGAAAACATGAGGCTGAAAAGTGTTGGTGCTAGTACACATTCTTGTTTCACGCAATTTGTTACAGGGAATGGCTTTGACGCCTCTCCATTTTCCCAAACTCTCGCCTGCATACCATCATGGAATAGTCGTACCATTGACACGAACTTCATGGGGTATCCATATTTGACCATGATCTTCCAAAAGCCCTCTCAACTAGTATGTCGAAAGCCTTGGTCAAGTCTAAATTGGTAGATAAGAGTTCAACATTTTGTTCCCTGCATTTTTCCTGTACCTATTTGGCCGCAAACACTATATCGATGGTTCCTTGTTCCTTCCGGAAGTCGACTTGACTTCCTGTCGGTAGACCCTTCTCCAGATGCTCATTAAGACGGTTTAGCAAGACTGTGTCTATCTTGCCTGCAATTGAGAGCAGTGATACGCCACGGTGGTTGTCGCACGGTGCACGGTTTCCTTTACTCTTCTACAGGTGAACAATAGATGCATCTTTTAAGTCCTGTGGAATGGTCTCTTGCCGCCACATCAAACAGCTGGTGAAGCTTTTCGTGCAGAGATGTGCCCCCCTTCTTTGTGTTCTCTAGACGGTCTTGGGTCATCACCTGGTCGCTTGAGAAAAGGCATATAGCATATTGGGTCTCAGTTAGAGTAGGGGGGGGGGTGATGTTGATTCAGTGACGCGCGCTGTGATTAGGATATACGTGAAGAAGAATTGAGCGAGTCGTCGGCCCAACTCTCTCGCACAATATCATCTTGATCCAGCTGCAAGACATTGTCGAGACGACTGGGGATGGGATTGGGTGAAGGTGCAGTGAATGACCATGGCGCTCTACGTGTCTGGCCGTGCTCTGGACGATCCACGTCACTTTGCTGTCTTTGCCATATGTCCGTTGATCGAGTCTTGGTTCCTTCGCACAGTTTGCCGGATTCAGTCTTTTACATGCTGCGGGGGGGGGACAAGCCCTTTTCACCGAATCTTCTAAGCCCTTCGGCTACACTCAACCTGGTTTTGCCGGCAAGTCGAAGCCGTTGTCCGGGTTTGTGGCCGCTGTGCATGTTACAGCTTCTCGGAGCCAGAGGCGAGAGCTGAGTACAGTGTTGGGACCAAAGATTGATTAGCTACCCTAAGGGGGTTACGACTGCTGCTCAATCAGAGGTACTACCCCTCCAGATGTACCCCATACTGGTTACTGAATAATGACAATGAAGATGGTATAAAGGTTATTGCATAATTGCAATGAAGCTGAATTTTTATTGAATACTGGCAATGAAGATGGTAAGAGCCATATTATTTGTATTACCTGGGTTCTGTGGACTGGCGCGTGAAGAATAACACTGCAGTATGCGTGTATGGACTGATTTATTGATAATCGATGTACTGATTACATTGGCATGTAACCTTGTAACGGTGTATAATGTTTAGTAATTTTTTGGTGTGTACCGATTGCCTTTTTTTCACACTGAGTGTATAGGTGTGTACTCATTGCACTCGTGTGCTTTAATTGATATGCACTGATTGTACTTGTGTGTACTGATCGTCGGGGCGTGCACTGGTTGTTTTGATGTGCACCAGGAGTGAACAGGAATATTAGAGCCACCGGTTCAAAATGAAAATACAAAGAACACAATTAACCAGGAAGTTACCATGTCAGCCTAACATCTAGGACAGCCCCGGTGTGGGCCAGTGGAGCGCAACCTTCTAAGAGACTTTTTCTCTTAATCACACAGTTAAGTTTTTTTTTTAATATGATCACTGGTTGCGCACCACTGACGAATGTCTTCACAATCTACCAGCTTTACGCCTCAGTGCGCTCTGTTTTCATCTCTTGTTTAATTCTTTCCTCCAGCCGGTAACGTGCCTGGAAAGAATTGTGCTGCTTTTACGAAGAAAGCTGATTTGTACCACCACGCTCAGTTCTAGTGCAGCGGATGGTAGAGTGTATATACATATATATTGATTTAATTCATTCTTCTAGATTGGCCACCTTGTTGGCCCCACCCACGAGTGCTCTCCACCCGCTTGATTGCCCCCCCCCCCCCAGAAAATGTGTAAATATTATCTTACATTGAGGTGGGAATCGAACCTTCTTGTAGAAGTTCGTACTAGGTAGAGGTGGGAATCAAACCTTGTAGAAGTTCGTACTAGGTAGAAGTGGGAATCAAACCTTCTTTTAGAGGTTCGTACTAGGTAGAGGTGGGAATCAAACCTTGTAGAAGTTCGTACTAGGTAGAGGTGGGAATCAAACCTTGTAGAAGTTCGTACTAGGTAGAGGTGGGAATCAAACCTTGTAGAAGTTCGTACTAGGTAGAGGTGGGAATCAAACCTTCTTGTAGAGGTTCGTACTAGGTAGAGGTGGGAATCAAACCTTCTTGTAGAAGTTCGTATTCGGTTCGATAACAGCTTAAGTAATATCTAGGAATGTGGAATCTTTTTTTTTTATTTTTTAGCAAACCGGTTATGAACTTTAGAAATCCGGTTGTGGGGGAGGGATTTTACAATTGGGACACGCGCTAAAACAGGTGCAGGCAACCACGACACGCAGGACACAATAAGGGCCCGATGAAACCCTTACTTCGGCTCGTAAGACCTTCCGGGAAACTGGAGTATATCTAATAATCCATGTAAAATATAAACAACTTTGAACGAGCATCTGTAAATGCCTTTGAAAATTAAAAAGCATCGTCCCAGCCGTTGTAATAATGATAACAGTGTAACAGCAAACTAAAACTAGAAGTGAATTTCCGAAGCCCATCTCTGATCACGTATATAAAACAAGAACTCTTAGATTCCAAGAAAAGTAACATGTGGGGCGCCCCCCCCCCCCAATGTTTTTGCGGCGCTCTTAACAAAGCGGTTGCCCGCCCCTGCGCTAAAACCACAAAGACGGTGAGCGCTGTCGTTCCTATATCCTCACGTTTGTTCTGTTGCAACGTGCCGGTGTTTGCTGTTGATTTATATGAGGGAACCATCCGGTCACTGAGGCGTACTGAGCCCCCTCTCTCCAGCCACGGGCTTCTGACATCCACTACAGGTGGTCATTTAATCATTTGACTCTTGACCAATAAGGCTATTTAATAATTTGGCTATTAAACGATTTGGCTATTTATACATTGTAAAGCCATCTATTTTTTGTCGATAGATATAACACTATCATATGTTTCTTTCGATAAATATGCCACTATCATCTATTTCTTTCGATAATATGACACTGTCATCTATTTCTTTCGATAGATATAACACTATCGTCTCTATTTCTTTCGATAGATTTTACACTTTCCTACGAGAGGAGCTGTTCCCTGGAACAAGCGCCTCGATTCTATTCAGTTATTACCCGTCAGTCTTTGCGAGGCGTGTAGTTTTATGAGGTCGTTCAGTAACACCGAAGTTCGCGTCGGCCCTAGCGTAGGTTCAATGGCACCTGCTGACATCATCATAATTTGTCATAACACATATACTGTCCGTGCAACGTGCATGTGTCCCACCTATACAAAGCGTCGAATAAGCTGACTGATTGCTGTGTGATAAAATACACATTTCGACATTTCCACGAATGGCTGCGTACACGGCCTGGAATAGTTTTAATAATGCAAAAGTCATGGGATGCGCCTGTATAATTGTACACATTAAACATTAATTCAAAATTAGTCCAAAGTAACCTAGATCATGAAGGCATATTCATTTTAGTAAGTACTGTTTTCTTTTGATATAACAAACTTATTTTTATTTCTTGGTGTTTCTAGTTAAGAGGTTTGTTTTTGTTGTTGTTTTGGGGTGGGGGAGGGACAGAAACTGCATGTTGATATAATTCAAGGCAGGCCTGCACAACATACGGCCCGCGGGCCGTATGCGGCCCGCCAACACTCACTTTGCGGCCCGCGAAGACTTTGGTGAAAACTCATAATATTATAAATTAAAACACATCGTTTTGGGGAAAAAATTCTAATGAAATTAATCTTTTGATAGAAGAATTATTTTTTTAAAGAAGAAGAAATTCAGTTTAAACTAATTGGAGATCCATTTTCTGTGAATCCCGAGGACATACCAGTTCCATTGCAGCTGGAGGTTATCGAACCTCGGAAAATTCAACGAAGCAAGTACAGAGAGAGCAGCCTGAAGGATTTTATAATCTGGACCGTGAGAAATACAAAAATCTTAACGAAGTTGCACTGAAAATTTTTAGCGTATTCGGAACCACTAATCGATGTGAACAGATATTCTCAATTAATCAGCATTCATAAATGCAAGCAACGCTTATGTTTGCGTGATGATCATTTGGAGGACATCTTTAGAACAGCCACTTCCAATATATCTCCTGAATACGACAAACTTCTTACCGAAAACCAATGCAATGTTTCACATTAAATTTACTTCGTAAGTAGCGAAATATTCTTTACTAGTTATAGCCCGCCAAACATTGGCGACAGCAATGCGTGCACTTCCCATCTGCTAAAGTTACTTGACAAAACATGAACTCAAGTAACGCACATTTAAGAATCCCAATTTTTGCTACACCTCTTCCCCCTTCTCCCCCCCCACCCCATGATACGACACTGCACACTTTCTACTTCACGCTCATGTACTTTATTAAATATTCTGATGTCCCAAACACTTTTAAACGGAATATTTATTACACCATATTTATATTGAGACGATTTCATTTTCCGAAAAGAAAAGAAAACATTACGCTCCAAAGAAATATCGTGCTTTAAAAAAATTATCATTTAGCTTAGTTATCGGGAATTATATTTTGCGCGCTATCCAGAAATGGAAGCAGCCACACCCCAAGCAAAATATGTTTAAGAGATTATTATTATTTTCTTAATAGCTTTCACCCCTGCCCTATTTTCTTTCGGCCCGCCCAAGATTTTCATAAAGTATTACGGCCCACCTTACATTTGGAGTTGTGCAGACCTGATTAAAGGGGTACTGAGAAGACGTGGCACGGGTGTGTGTGGAGAAATCATCAGGGGTGATGGAGGGCAGACGATGATGAACTTCATCTAGTTCAGAGGTTCCCAAACTGTGGTCCGTGGTTATGGTTTCTGGTGGTGTGAGACTACGATGTTGAAAAGAAAAAAATTCCCCCAAAATTAATTAATTAATATATAATCCCATCACTTCTTGCCGGCTTCCAATCATGCAAAGGGGTCGTCCATTAATTATGTCAACAAAATGGGGGGGGGGGGGGGGGTGGGGGAAATGTTTGACAATTTTTGAAAAGGGGGGGGGGGGTTAGATTAGTTGACGTCAAAAATCATGTTTTCTATATTAACATTTTAATTTTAAAATTGACTGGTTATTACATTATTTTAACAAATTTAATGAGTGAAAATTAAAAGAAATGTTAGGCTTTTAACAATATAAATATAAGATTTATTTAATGTGTGTCTGTCTTGCACTGTTGATGGCCGGTCAGAATGTTAGCACATCTTTGTTAGTGCAAGAGAAGTCAAAAGTTGGCCTCTCTTCACCTGTAGATTCTGTGTGTCGCAAATGACTAGGGCGGTATGTTTGCGGTCATGTTGCACGTTACGGAACAAGGTCAAGGTTCAAGTGTCATGTGCAGTCAAAATTAAATATATTGATAGAGTAGGAATTCGATATTATGAGAATTAGGGGAAAGTAAAGTGAACGGATTTGAAAAAATATGTAACATATATTGTTCATTATAAGTCATGTTGAAATAGCATGTTCAACAGCACCGACAATGCGTAAGAAATTACCACCTGCTCCTCAACAAAAAAGTATTCGACTAATGCAAGTAGCTGCCAGGAGAGATGAGAACTTATAGAGCAATTATTCCTCACACTGACAGTGCTTCTATTTTAAGTGCTGAATGGTTAGATGAGAATAATGTTGATTTGTCTGGTATGTCAGTGCCTCAAGATGAAAATAATAAATCAGCTACTTTTCCCATTGTTACGATAATAATATACCAACACCTGGCTGCTCTCTGGGAAGATGATAACAGCTCGAAACTATGCTACAATTGTCAGCTATACTTACAATAGTCATATTTATACTTGCACAAACAATGATGTTTAGTCCTTAACAACCTTTTCAATTATCCTGCATTATAAAATTTAAGTGTAAAAACTTTTTTAAATTTTTGATTAACAAGCTCAAGATGCAATAGAATGTTTTTCCTACATTTTGTGTTATTAAAATAGATCAGCACAAAGTAAAATGTATTTATATATTTATTAATATTTTTTTTATAAATTATTTTATGACATAATTAGTAAGGGGAGGTCATTGACAGTTTGACAGTTGTTGACGGAAAAGGGGGGGGGGGGGCAAAAATTGCTAAAAATTGTTGAAATAATTAATGGACGCCCCCAGAGAAAAACAGCGTTGTCATAGCGACTTTCTAAATAGTAGCCAATCTATGGGGTTCGCGTCCAAACAGATGCTTCCACTCATGTGGTTCTTTTTCATGTAAACTGACTTTTGAACAAAGTTACACAGTTCATGGCTTGTCTGGAAAAACCCGGTGTGCACCATTATTCCAATGAACTCGAAATGAATATCCGAATCCCATAGTGACGTATATAAGCCAGGTGTATCAAATTAGCATGCGGCCCGCCAAAGAAAAAGTAATATCCTTGCGGCCCTCTGCGATAAAAGAGTTACCCGCCCCTTATCTAAAGGCAGAGAAAAAATAAATGGGAAACACTGTGTGAAACATGTGTGCATCACTGGGGGGAAATATGTGTACATCAATGTGGGAAATGTGTGTGCATCACTGGGAAACATGTGTGCCTCACTGGGGAATATGTGTGCATCACTGGGGAAACATGTGTGCATCACTGCGGAAAACATGTGTACATTACTTGGGGAAAAATGTGTACATCAATGCGAGAAACATGTGTGCATCACTGCGGGAACATGTGTACATTACTGGGAAACATGTGTACATCACTGTATGAAAAATAAGCCTAATAACTGCACTGCAGGAAATATTGGAATATTATTTAATTGCCCCTAATCAACGTACACCAGAAAAACTGCAAAGTTGACTGATTCCTGCCCTTGGTGATACAGGGGAGACAATTTGATGAGATGTTAAACACACAAGAACAGCTTAGGTCTAAAGCCTGATGTGTTGGGTAATAAATGAAGGACTGCGTTCAAGCTGTGTGAAGGAAATAGTAGAACAGGGTGTGTAGCAGTTTGAACAGAAATACAGTGCAAGAAACGAACAAAGTTTCGGCGCAGAGCCTTCCCTCGGCAGACAGGACACATTTTTAAAAAAAAATACATTTGTAGAGAGTGAATGTAAATCAATTCAAATACCTACCCCCCTCGGTTCATTCATTTGTCCAGTCTGTTGAGGAAGGCTTTTCGTCGAAACGTTATTATTTTATTGCCCTGTCTCTATTCAAGCTTCCACATACCTTCTTCTAGTATTTTCTTGATGTGTTGCAGTACCTTATATTTTGGATCATACGTACCCCGATTGGTTAATATTTATACTTCTCTCTTAAGCCACCAAGCGTTTAAATATGTAAAACCACATGTGGTCGACAAGTAAGTTTAGTTTTTTGTGTCTGGTTTGAAAAAGGTTGGGGACCACCTATCTAGTTGTTAATAATCTACTGAAGATTCCGGATATTTAAATTGCACGCAGATTTACTAGCGCAGCGGTTCCCAAAATTTTAAGTTTCCAACAGCACCAAGGACCGGCTTAGGAAGGGAGTGCTGGGAGAGGGGAGCGGTCCGTGCCCAGAGGGGGGCTTTTCTCCCTTTATATTCAGGGGCTGCATTTTCGGCCAACCATAGAGATTTGTTTTCATTTGTGGGGGTGGGTGCCAGATTTATTAACTAAGCTATTCTTATCTATAAGATTGACCCCTATTCTTTCGTAAGTATAGGGCTCTACGACTCTATTACCATTAAAAGCTCGCCGTTACAAGAAGACTGTTTAACTTCATTTAACTTTCATCCAGTTACTTGTCTTATGTTGTACAGATCCTTATACAAAATTCACATAGAAGTATCGAATTTCAGCCTTATACAAATGCTATGTGAAAAATGTGTAGTTAGGTCAACACCTACCTATTTGATTAATAACATGTACATTGTCTATCCTTTATTTATTTTTCTTATCCACAGAAGTGAAGAGCTACCAAGATGGTGATCCAACGTCTGCCATCGACGCCACTCGCCAAGGACGTCCTCTACATCGGCAGCGCCGTCCCGCTGGAGACGTCAGAGGGGCTCGAGGCTGTCCAGCAGCCGCTCCGGTCCCGGTACCCCGTGGACAACGACGACAACATCCAGGGCATCCTCGCCACGCTCACCATCGTGCCCTCGGGCATCCAGCTCCGCTACAAGAACGACCCCGGCAACATCGTGCTGTTCCCGTTCTCCGCCCTGACGATGTGCGCCGCCGTCCGGTGCGTGAGGACGAGCAACGCGGCCACCAACGAGGTCACGGCGAGGTTCGTGTCGCTCAGCTCGCCGGAAGCCGGCGGAATCAACAACGAAAGGCCAGCCATCTTCACGGCCATCACCAGGCGGACCAAAGGGAGGCAGGTCCTGGAGTGCCACGGGTTTATCACGATGTCCCCCAAGGACGCCATGGAGCTGGTGCAGTGGACGTCCGTCATGGATAAAAGAAGCAAACAGTCTGGGAGCACGTACTCCACGCTGGGCGCAGGGGTCACCATGGCCACGTACGAGTCCAGCAAAGTCGACACGTCTTTCCGGGACGACACTGCGTCACTTCCGGATTTCCCGATCCAGCTGGTGCCGGGTGAGCCGATGGTTCTCAACACGTCCCCGGCTTTTTACAAGGAACCCCCTCCTTCCGGGTATTTCTATTCTACCAAAGACGCACAGGTTAAGAAATATGCACTGCACAAGTTCAGCGGCGGAGGGGGTGCCACCACCGTAGACGACACCCAGTCTATGATACAAGCAGCGACGGATACTTTGGAGAGACGTCCCGGTTACGCGGGCTCCCATTACTCAGCCTCTGCCGTGATGGCACCCTCCCGTCAGCCCATCATGGTGCCTCTGCGCCCCTACCTGCCCCCACCACCTGCTTACGTCAGACCGGTCACTGTTCGGCCCCCCCCCCCACACGACGGATACTTTGGAGAGACGTCCCGGTCACGCGGGCTCCCATTACTCAGCCTCTGCCGTGATGGCACCCTCCCGTCAGCCCATCATGGTGCCTCTGCGCCCCTACCTGCCCCCACCACCTGCTTACGTCAGACCGGTCATTGTTAGGCCCCCTCCCCCACAATCTGTGTATGCCTACCCCCGCCCCCGTTTTTTCTCTCCTCCCCCTCCCCCTATGATGAGGGCCCGCCCCATTCCAATGTTCGTGCAGCCCCCACCAGGCCACATGTACTACGAGGGAGATCTTAGGCCCCGCCCCAGAAACAGAAGCTCCTCCTCACGATCCTCCTCATCCTCCTCCTCCTCGGGGGTGAGTGGCCGCGCCAAGAAGAAAGGTCACGTCAACCGCACCCGTGACGGTTCCAGCGGCTCCGACTCCAGACCCGTGACGCCTCCCACCGATTACGACTCCCCCAGAGGCCCGCGAATCAGCAGACGCGAAGACTTCGTCCAGCGGCAGCACCACGGGAGCGAACTCAACGGATACACTTCCAGGAAAGGTTACCTCCCCGGGCCACCGGGCCCCGGCTACTACATGGTAGCTCCTACACCATACGGGTACTACGGCACGTTGCCTGGAACCCAAAGGCCAAGGTCGGTCCCACCCTACGGGGATAAGACGGGCACCAAGAAGAAGGACAAAAAATCCAAAAAGACCAAAAAGGTCTCCAAGAAGGACTCGAAAAAACGCAGCTCGGCCCAGAACCACGACACGTCGACCGACAGCTTAGCAGGATACGCCTCTGAGCTGGCACCCAACGGGGAGGGCAAGCAGCCACGCGACTTCCGGCGTTTGGAGAACCAGTTTAAACACGAGAGGGCGTTCTCCAAATCTCTGACCGAGGAGACGCGTCACTCCGTCAGGGGCGACGCCAAACACGATGCGTACACCCTCAACCACAGCACGGCCCAGAACGAAAATGATTTCCCAATGTACTAAATATGTTCGGCTTATCGTACACTGCTTTGTATCAGCGGCTCATACTGTTTTTCTGTGTCATAACTTATCATCATCTGTAATGTCATGGCGTATCATCATATTCTCACATAGCGTAGCATACACCTCCATGCAGTGGCGTAGGAAGGGTGTGCGGTGGGGGCGTTCCGCCTTACACTTCCGCCTTACCTTACACTAGGAAACGATAGTTAAGATTATTCTGATCTAGACTATTCTTGGGCTCCTTTATTTTAACACACTAACGTAATGGCCAAGACACTGCGACCAATGTTTTGCTGGTCTCAGACTCGGCTACGTAAAATCACATAAGACTGTACTTTACACAAATGTTGAGTGACAAGTACTTTGTAGTGAAAAAAGTATTGTAACGAATCAAAGTGTTTGGGCTCGGCTGGTAATGTTGACGTTTTCAAAAGCTGAACCCGTGTCCTCGGAAGTTTTGTGCAAGGCTTGACTGAACCTGTGGCCTCATAGAAGTTTTGTACAAGACTTCACTGAACCGGTGGCCTCATAGAAGTTTTGTGCAAGACTTTACTGACCCTGTGGCCTCATAGAAGTTTTGTACAAGACTTTACTGACCCTGTGGCCTCATAGAAGTTTTGTACAAGACTTTACTGAACCTGTGGCCTCATAGAAGTTTGATTTAAGACTTTTCTGAGCCTGTGGCCTCATAGAAGTTTTGTACAAGACTTTACTGAACCTGTGGCCTCATAGAAGTTTTGTACAAGACTTTACTGAACCTGTGGCCTCATAGAAGTTTGATTTAAGACTTTTCTGAGCCTGTGGCCTCATAGAAGTTGTATGCAAGACTTTTTCCCTCTTGTTGTCTCTTTCTTTTTTAAACGATCTGGAACTGTTTACATTCCTGTATTGAAAACTTACGGCCTCAGAGGCGTAGCGGGTTGGTAAACATTGCCAGTGGCGTAGCCGAGTTGTAAAATATTGCCAGTGGCGTAGTGGGATTTGGTAAAATATTGCCAATGTTGCCAAGTGGATACTAAACAAATTGAAGTTTTACTCTATATACCCTGGATGGAGGCGCCACATTGTTATTTTAGCCCCGTCACCATGTACCATATAGCTACGCCCCTGATTCAACTTCCGAACTTACTGCCAAGTCGACCTATCCAGGCTACCCCAACCCCTCAGCGCCCCCCCCCCTTTTTCATTCAGCGCCCACCTCAAGGTGATGTAGAATATCACGCTAAATTAATCAAACGAAAAGCTTTGTAATAATACACAGTCCACGTAAATGCCTTGCCCCACATTCCTAGCCAATGTTCCACATCTAGCTTCCGTGCCATGCATATGTAAAAGGCGGTCCGCGAAAAATCCATTTTGCCACATTTAGCACATATTCAAATTTAACTTCCCTGCCTGAAAAATATAGTACCAAGAAAAATACTTTTTTTTTTTTTAAAAATCCCCACACACACATCAAAGTCCCATGCCTCACACAAAGACGGGCCCCACACAATGTTATCAGTAGCTCAACAAATAACATTCTTTCATTCTTGTCGAGCTGTTGTTGACATATTCCTGGACTACCCCCTTATTGCGTTACACCCAGTGCCGTGATATTTATGGCCTGGTCTTGTGTCAGGACTGGTCTTGTGTCAGGACTGAACCACTCAGGTTTACAAATGTATACAGATTTTTCCTGACACCCTTGAGGACCACTGTTTAACATTCTGTTAACTTACTATTTCCGTCGACTTACCCTCTCGAGTTCTGGCCCCTTCACGACAGGATGTTGCTTTATTGTGCCAGATTTTGCGGGTTATTATATTATTATTTTTTTTGTGTCCGAAAATTTAAGATAATTTCTTCCATGTCTGGCCCCTCATCTTCATTTATTGAATACCGGACTATTCATCTTCATCTTAGGAAATGAGTGAGACAAATTATAGGAAAACCTGAAAAAATGAACGCAACGAACGTGTCGGCAGGAAGCCTTCATGGGCGAACAAACAAAAGAAGAAAAAAACAGAATTATTTTTTTTTTAAAAATAGCCCTTAGTTGAAAAGTTGTATCCAAGAGGGCAGCAAAAGAGTTATACAATTTTTGACTATTTTTATTTAATTAGTTTCACTCATTTCCTTTTTTTAAATTTATTTATTTATTTTTTTGCTAACCTGATTTCAGTCTCTCCCCCTTATTATCTTCATATTATCTTCATACCATTCCATTTATTGGTATAATTCATCCATGTAAAAAAAAAATAAAAAAAAATTGTATAATAATCAGACATTTTAACAGCGAAAACATAATGTAATGTAAAGATATTAATAGATCAAAAACTACACCTCTTGTTATGCATTTTTCACTTTATTTTGTTGTTTGCTTCTGTAATTTTAAACAAATATAACATTTCTTCATTTGATTTCAATTAGCGCGTCTCATTGACTCATAATAAATATGTTTAACTGGAAACATTTATTTATTAAAAAATGTAATATCTTCATTGCTATGTTTCAATTTTATAACACATTTCTATGGGGTTTATTTTTGTAGTGCTCTGATGTCATGAATTATTGAGTCATAGACACTTTTTTTTAACAATGTTCGAGACAGCGACTGCATAATAAAACATTTAAGGAAAGTCGACAGCTCGCTTGCAAAAAAAAAAAAAAAAAAAAAAAAATAAAACACAAATGTGCTAAGTATTTAATTTTTTTAAAAATTCTACTCTAATATACATTTCTTTTTCAGGGATATTATTTATCATATTTAAGAGAGTAACATCGTCTCTCAAATAGAGGCAGTGGTTATTTTAGAATGCTGTACTATATTAGTTGCTGGTAGATGGTCTATGCGGGGTACATACCATAAATTAACCATCTAATAGAATTTGATTTTTTTATTATTTTTTTTTTTTTATTCGTTAAATGGAAATGGATTAGAGATTAAAGCCTAGTCCAACGCATGTGTTAACAGATGGCACATTACCAACTTGACATCTCCCATGCGATGTCTTACTTTCAAAACATTAACAATTTTTTTTTTATAACCGTAGTATGGTCATCATGTTTTGTTATACATGACCATCTCAATTATAAAACCTCACATCATGTTTCACATTACTAAACATTCCAAATGGGTCCTTTCTACCTGCGCGATCCCATCTTTCACTAGAGAATTTCCACCTTTCTACTAGCACTTTTCTAATAGCACATTCCTAAATTCTTACTAGCACATTCCCACCGTTCTACTAGCACATTACCACCTTTCTACTAGCACTTTTCTAATAGCACATTCCTAAATTCTTACTAGCACATTCCCACCGTTCTACTAGCACATTACCACCTTTCTACTAGCACTTTTCTAATAGCACATTCCTAAATTCTTACTAGCACATTCCCACCGTTCTACTAGCACATTACCACCTTTCTACTAGCACTTTTCTAATAGCACATTCCTAAATTCTTACTAGCACATTCCCATCGTTTTAATAGAACATTCCAACCTTTCTACTAGCACATTCACACCGTTCTACTAGCACATTACCACCTTTCTACTAGCACATTCCCACCGTTCTAATAGCACATTCCTAAATTCTTACTAGCACATTACCACCTTTCTACTAGCACTTTTCTAATAGCACATTCCTAAATTCTTACTAGCACATTCCCATCGTTTTAATAGAACATTCCAACCTTTCTACTAGCACATTCACACCGTTCTACTAGCACATTACCACCTTTCTACTAGCACATTCCCACCGTTCTAATAGCACATCCCTTTCCCTGTGACCTTTCCCTCATCCCACTCTAACACTGACAAAGAAGAATCTATACTCTACCTATGTTTGTTGGATCCCTAAACCAATGGTTCTTAACCAGGGATGCATGGACCTTGTTCTACATAACGACGTAATTTTTAAATTATTTTTAAGAATATATTATACCATTTAGCAAAGGAGAAATCGTTGACAAATGTTTGGAACCGTAGCCGTGACGCTGACTCCTGCACCGAGAATAAATCGGTTCCCTCTCAATCATTGTTTTGGTTGTATCCCTCTCAGCACCGCGTTTGTTTGCCTGCTCACAACAATGACACCCCTCCCCCCTCCACACACACACACAAACACACACACGAATGGGTTTTTCTATTATAGGAATTAAACCAACAAGATTGCGATGCTCTCTACGTATCCATAGCAACTTACATTAGTATAGTTACGGCGTGCCGTCACAATAGTCAGCTCAACAACCAGAGCTATTTATAGATTTTTTCTACGCATTTTTAATTGGCGTTTTAAAAAATATCCAGTTAAATGTATCTTTTGTGTAATGTAACTTATCTATTAATTCATTGCTATAACAAAAATAAGATCCTCTTTCGTTTTTTAAAAAAATGATTTGTATTATTGTTTATTTTTTATATTTTTTAAAAGAATAATAAATGTTTATACTAGATTTGTAACTTACAATACTGAAATAATTTTTTTTAAACTTGGTTATTCCTGCCTAATGGTGGCTTAAACCCGCCCTCGTCAGAGGCGTAGCTAAAATGCTTGGAGCCCTCGGACAATATTCATTTTTAAAGCACCCCTCCAACTCTAAAAATCCATTATTTTTTTATCAGTTAAATACCAACACCCAATGTAAAGCGAAACGGCTATTCAAGAGATTTAACACACACAAAGAAAAAAAAAAGCCTATGACCAGTTGCATCGTGCATACGGCCACGGGGGGGGGGGGGGGGGGGTTCTATTTCAAAACTATTTCAAGCCCCATTTCGGTGCACCCACTTGTCTGGCGCCTGGGATACATCTACCCTTCCCCCCCCCTCTGCTCCCTTAGCTACGCCTCTGGTCCTAATTATCGACGTAACCGCGTGACTGGTGAAAGGACACAATCACGGCGACGCCTATGGACGTATTTTGTTTTGTTTTATTTTTGGTGCTGGTCATGTTTTTAGACATTCCTTTAGAGATAAGCGAATGCTATCGCGCTCCATAAGAATTCTTTCTTCCCCC